AGTATTAACAAGGATTTGGAGAAATTGGACTGTTGTGCATTACTAGTGGAAATGTACTTAAAAACAATAAAGATGGTGAAATTTATATTTTTATGTGTATTTTTTTATCACAACTAAAAAAAAAAGCAAAGAAGATATGCCTCCTCAGTTTAGAAGCACTGGTCTAGTTAAGAAGGGCAAGGAAAACAAATATTTTTAATATACAGTTATTTGTGTCTAAAGGCACAATAGCTAATTTCATCACCTGGGAAAAATCAAACAGGTAATTAGACAGTCTACTTGTTTGTTCTAATTTTTAGTTAGCAGCCTGAAACAGACATATAAGGCCTGATATGCTACACTTCTCTGAACTATCCCATCTGATAATGAGAATTTTTTTAACCTCAAAATGATAATTTTGAAAACACACAGTATGCTTAAGGAGAAAAATAAGCGAATAAAAATTTTATAAAGTATGACAAAAAATCACCAACTCACAAATTCCAGCACAAGTTGTTTGGAAGGGTAACCCCTAAAAAGCTGTCTAAAAATGATCTGGAAAGAAGTTTTCTACATATCAAGAGGGGAGTGGTATGATATAATTTCCAGGAAATATTTTAGTCTGAATTTATTCAAAGTCAAATTTTTCATCAGCATAAATTCTACAGGTAAGGACTTTCATGAGATTGATGGTTCCTGGGAGGGAGGAAGGGAATAAGGGAGGGAGGGAGGAAGGAAGGAAGGAAGGAAGGAAGGAAGGAAGGAAGGAAGGAAGGAAGGAAGGAAGGAAGGAATAAATCCTAAAGAATAGGTTTAAGTGCCAAATAGCTAATTTAGAAATAAAAGTATTTTATCTTCCTGATTTAGGAAAATTAAAAAACAATGGAATGCTGAAAACATATGAAATGCTGACCCTAAGCAATTCCAAATCTTCTAAAATACTAATTTAGCTTCAATATGCACTTTATTAAAACTTGGACTGAAACTGAAAATGTCAATTTCCGGGTTTCAATGGACCACAGATGGGGAGAACACAGAGGAAGGTCAGTGCAGTTGCTACAAGACAGGTGTTGGGTAAGCAAGGAACCACCATTCGGAGGCGAGGTGACCTCCTCAGAGCCCAGTGAATAAGACTGCTTACAGGATGGAGACCCTGAAGGATGTATTTAGGATTTTTATCAAGCACAGGCAAACAGGGGTCCTAGGTATAGATGCTATATCTATAATCTAGGGATTTGTAAAGAAGAAGGAATTCAAGGGCAGCAGTCTGATGGATGGGGTGAGGAAAGCATCAGGACCTGGCCATAAGGAATATGAAAGTAGTAGAGGTTAGGTGGGAGCAGGCAGGGATGAGGAGCAATAGAAAATGATGATTAAGAACCCCAGTTTCAGTGGAAATAACCACAGATATCAAAAGCTGGAAAGAGTCAGACAAGTACAAGTAGAACTAGCAGCAAACCCCAGCCACATCTGACTGGATGTCAGGCAAAAGCATTCAGGCAGTAACAGGCTGAATGTGGCATGGAAGAACGAGGATATCAAGGAGTTTTAATGCTAATCTGAAAAACAGGTCGGGGCTCCTTTTCCAGGATTCCAGTCTAGACTATGGAAGTGACCAGGGTATAGACATCCTTGCCAAGAATGTTCTTCACCTTGGGTTTGCAGGGTCATGTTTATTTGCAGCAATCTCACTAAGGGTTTGGCATAACCTGTCCTTCCCTTTCATTTCCTTAATCATGTCCATAGGGCAGGTGATCTCTAATGAGCATCTGGGGAACAAAGACACCTACTGTAGCTGCAGTAAGCTTGCCACATGGGATGGCAACAGGTGTAGATTTGCAGCTACTCTTTCTCTTCTTTGTGAAAAAGGACAAATGGCTTTGTGGTGAGTTAGGTTAGGCTGGAGAAGTACTGAATTTAAAGAGGACAGAGTTCTTATCACAGAAGATATTTAACCTAGAATGAGAATATAAGACCACATGTCTATTTATAACAGCCCTACTGTACTACAGAAAGGACTGAAGGCAATTGAGATATACAGTGGACTAAAATGTGGTTCAGAGACGACTGTTAAAAGAGAATCACAGTCAGAGACAAGGAAATTCTACAGAGTGAAACATGGAGCACAGTAACAGTTGAAACAGCCTCTCTGATTCCCTGTTTCTGCACCCCACACTCCTTTTGCTAGCTGGAGGCAGGGCAGAACCTTCACTAGTGCATACGGCCTTGCTGTATGTGCTCCATCTCTCTCCTCTACCCCAGACAAACTGTATCTGGTTGTTATAAATAATGCATCTTGTCTCCACTCCAACACCTGGATGCCAGTCTGGTCTCCTGTATCTGAGTTCCTTTATGGATCATCCATTCTCTTTCCCCTGAAACTGGTGCCCTTCTTTGCTCTTATCTTCCATTCTGATCCAGTCTCCCTGAAGACTGCCCAATCCCAGACTTGCAACCACTAAGTTTTACTGTCCTAGCTCATGCCAGACCTTTCAGAATAAACCACCAAATGAATATCCCACCACTGACCAGCTGTTCCACCCCCATCCCCTCTGCCTGGCCGCTTGTGGCTGGATCTACCTCTGGTGCGTACCCATCACAGCTCATGTGCCTCGTCTCTTTACGGGGCCTCTCCCCCCAAACCACCCCTACCCCCAGAAAGAACAAACCCTGATCAAGCAACATCATGAAAGTATAATACAGCATTCATACTCAGGATTCCTAGTCAGGGAAGATATGATTTTGCAACTATAAATCACTTCTTACTTTTCAAAGGCACAGTAAATATTTTGGATTTAGAAAAGCCAATTTAGTTTTTCATCATGTTAACAAATCACTATGAAATTTGTGAGTCCTGCAGTAACTCCTCTTTTTGGGTATCGAGGGAAAGGAGGGAAAGGAATGGAAGACAAGGAAGCTACACAAATTTATTTAAATATATTTAAAACATGTAGGCATTCATTTGCTCTAACTAGTGATTATGCAAAAGTGCACTAATTTATAAATTAAATTATCAGTGGACATTTTATATTTCTCATCCAAAAATGTAGAAGAGTTTAATCATAATTAATGATGCTTTCTTTCTTCTACTTGAATTCTTCTACTAGAATAACCGAAGAAAAGTAAATCTCAAGCCAGCTATGTGCATAATTTGGGAAAAAATAAGTTCATGTTTTGCCAACAGATGCTCCCTGCTTCATGTCAAATAATAAAAAAAAGAAATTAATCTGTAACAATCCAATTCTTAAATAATTTCAAAGTCTATTATATGATGTTATTCATAAAAAGAAACTATATTGAAAATTTAACTTTAGGCCAAATTATTATTTTTGCATTTATGAAATAGCTCTAGTTAGTCTAAATTTTCCTCATATGAAAAGAATGACTGCTGGTAACTTTTCCTTTTTCTGCAACTTCACCTCTACTGTAAATGTGGGGTGGTATGCATATTCATTCTTTTTTTCTGGTTTTATCAAATTTTAGTTTTTATGACTCAATATTATAAGGTAAAATAGTTTGTATTGAAACTTCAGTAAATATATTAATTTTCTTTACATTCTTTTACTTTCATTTTTCAAGTACAGAATTTCTTTTTTAAGACTATATTATTAATCTTGATAATTACAAAAGTTATCACATTCTAAGACAATTATGTGTCTTCAAGGACTTAAGACTTATAAGCCCATTTTCCTTATCTGCTTTTTAAAGTAGTAGCTAAAAAAAATTCAATACTATGTAAAACATAGATTGCTGTGACCCACAGTAATAAAAATAAGACATTCAGAGAACTAACAGTTCTCATCAGTTGGCATGATCTGGTGCTATAGCCTTCTGTGCTATGTAAAACTTAATTTCTATTAATGTATGATAATCATTTGTTTGACATTACAGTGTGAATTCACAGGAGTACCAGGGCCATCATGCACTCAGCAGCAACAGCTGAGATGGCCTCCAACCTAGAACATGCTGATCTGGCGGGCGGGAAGCCTGGACGAATTAAACGGACCAACACGTTGTCTCAAACTGAAACTGAAACCTTTGATGTTCCCTCTCTTGCCACCGAGTGATCATGCAATACGCTTCAAGTCGCTACAGAGCAGAGCACCACTGAAAAGCAGTTCCTTGGCTACGGTGGAAGTTCTATGACACATTTCTGAACTATTGGTGGTTGAATTAAATTGGAAATCTAACTCTGAGACTCTTGCAATAAGCCACATTCAAAAATAAACAAATCCTGTATCACATATCTTTACATTCCTTTTTAAAAAGTATGTTTCAAAATTGAGGAAAGGTTAAAAAAACTTAAGCAATTTTAACTTTAAGTTATATGCTCACATTATTTTCAAATACATTTCCTAGGCCTTTGAAATAGGTAGGTAGTGAGGAGGGAAGTGCAGTAAGTATGGAAAGCTTTGTTCTAAGTTATACCGACGTTGGATGGTTCAATGAAAATCACATCAATATGACTTTTTAGTCTGGAGAGGCATGCTTTGTCTAACATCTACTTTGAATTCTGTAAACTTACCTCCTTTACTAGTTGTTATTTTGGCTTTATAAGCTTTGAAAAATAATCTTAAACTCTATGAACTTGCTGAAGATTTAGTTTCATACTTCATTACTATATAGAAAATGATCTAATATAACCTAAGTCTTCTTTAGCCAAGAGTCTTGTTTTCAAACCCCTCCCCCATCTGCATATATGTATAGAAGAGATTTTAAAATTTAGGTTGCAGACTAATCATAAGGCAGTTTTTGAAAAGTAAAATTACTATATAGACAATTCTGAATTTAAAACAAAATACCTTAATTTTTTCAACTATATTAAATGTTGTCTTAAGATTTCTTAAACTAAAATGAAGAAAAATACAGCATGAACAATATGGTTAGGTGGTTCCAATAAGGCTAGTCTGACCACAGTGTAGAATATTCTACTGAAAACAATTAAAATGGACAAATAAACTCAAAGAAACCTTAACTCTCCTCCACTGCCTGTAACAGACCAACAGAAATCAAATAAATACCTCAAATAGAAAGGTGACATAGGTCTTTCATCTTCTTGTGAACTAAAAGGGAAATACATTTTGAATTAACTTCTTTTAATATTACAACATGTCAGTTTCACTAAAATTGAACCCTGTTCTATCAAATTTTGTTTTGACAAATTAGAGCTAATCTCACCATGGAGTAAGGTTAGTAAAACACACTCTACCTTGGACTCAGCCACAGTCAGTTACTTCAAGGGAGACCACCAAGAGAAGTTTCTTTCAAGATAAGCCTAAGGCAAAAGTAATTCACATCACACATTCAAAAGGAAGCATTCTATTATTCTATCAGCCCAATGCAAGTATTCATATTTTACACATATAAACCCTTAAAATGATTACTCAATTATCTCTATAAAGTTAATTATAGTTTATTAACATGATGATGAAATGGAGAAACAGCTAACAAAATATTCCTGTTAAGTGTAAAACATTTCAGGAAAGATGCCCAAGCCACAAAAAAGCACATCAGTAAACCACACTCATGCTCTTTGTCTTCTGTAGTTACTGTGAGAGTGTGGATAACATGAAAGGACATTAAATAAACTTATAAAAATAGTGTAAGTTCCTCACACAACACAGAGACAGTATGAAGCTTAATATAAAAGCAATTACTTTTTAAAAATGTAAAATATATTTTACAATATTTTTTCTGTTCTTTAATGTGTTTCTTTCTTCTAATAACATCCTCATGACAAAGAATGAGTCTCTCTCCCTTAGTGTCTACTGGAATGGTCTTTGAAATTTTTTGAGTATGCACTAGTATAAAATTTACTTTTAAGCAGCCACTCCCCTCAATATACAATTAAGTATCTACCTTTATTAAGTATATCATTAAACAGATAAAAGTAGAAAGGTAAATAGGTAAAATTAAAAAGATCTAATAATTTCTTCTTGTATCCCTATGGTTATTCTTATACACCACTTGGGGTGTACACCACCTTTGAGGAAACAACTTTAGAATTCTCTCTGTTCTCTTTATTTTTGGCTTGTTAATTTTCTTAAGCATCATTGATGAGATAAGTTTGCCTCAATTGATAATATCACATTCATCAAAATGTTATGATAAAGTTATAACATAAAACACACACACACACACACACACAGATCCAGGAAGCTGAAAAGGTCTTAACATTTTGGTTGGAAGATGGCACATAAAATATGACATACTATCTTTCATTCTGTTTTTGGTTTCCAATTTTAATATTGATTAGCTGTTCTACTGTTTATACTCCAAAGATTTTAATGTTTCTGATTGTTCTGATTCTTCCCAAGTGAAATGTAGGTGATGGATCAGCTTTCTTGACTGATGTGGATGGGATAAGGGCAAGCTTGAAGAGGTGGGTTGCAGAGCTGAAGAGTTAGAGGTGACAATACCTGTGAAATGTCCAGGTGTCTTGGGAAGAAACCACCTAGAGCAGTACTATTACAGAAGGTCACTACTTTAAGCCAGACTGATACAGGAGCTGACACATATGACTTCAAAATATTCCTTGAAAACACACAACAAGTGATAAAAATTTTAGAATTGGGTTTCTTTCATAATCAAGAATTCAGTGTCAAAAAGTACTAATTCTGACCAACACTATACAAAGAGACTTCAATTAAAAACTATAATGATTTTGTGCTATGGGAAAATTGTTTCCATATGTTATAAAATGGGCTCTGTATTAAATACCTTTTTGCCCAGAATAGATCCTTACCTCCAACAAATCACGGTGAAAATTAACAAGGGAACTTTAGTGAATATTTAATTACTGGTTTTCTTAATTTAGCAGTGCTTTGGGAGGTAATTTAGATGGTGCAGGGTTCTGAACACAGATGTTGATGTGATTTGGATAATGCTTTTTTTGTGTGTGTGCTAAATTTCTTTGTAGAAAACAGAGACAATCAAAATGAACCAATCCTTCCTTCCTTTATGCTTTCTTTCATGGAATTTATTCATCAGCCAGGTGTTCTACATTAATTATCTCATAAATCTCCACAAAAACCTTCCCTGGTACTTGTACTTGCCCCTTACTTGAGGAACGCAGGCTCAGGATGGGCACATAACTTGTGCAGGTCACATAGTAATGTGTAAATTACATTACATATTAGTCCATTTTTGTTGCTTACTGTCTTACCTTCGATTTTAACCTATCAAAATATGGTATTATGAATAGGTCAGTGAAAAATTCATGAGATGGCCAGTCTGCATTCCGGTAGCCCTCAAGATCTTGTGGACTTTATAAGATCCATATCATGCTTTTGATTATAGCAATACTACATTGACCTTAGTCAAAGTCCATTCACAATGTATTATGTCTAATAGCATGTATAAAGTGATGATTTTATTAAAATGTACTAGCAGTATGTTAAGAGTACCTCTTGAAAGAAACATAAGTTTCTAATCATAGGCAAATACTTTTCAGGCTGCATTTGCACAAAGTAAATTTTTCAATGAAAAACAAAATCAGAAATTCTTTATTTGGATATGCCCCTGAATTTTGACCATTTTTAAGAGTTTCAAAAAAAGAAAATGTAGCACTACAATTTAAATAAAATGAAACAGGCTCTATTAGATTTACTCAATCAGAAGCAGTCAACAAAGCAGTAATCCATGTACAATTCCCAAGAAGAACAATACAATTAGAAAAGAAAATGAGCATAAATAAGTCAATTTTGCTAGCTGGTAAGCATATTTCTCTTTTCCTTTTCATGAAAGTACCCTTGCCTGGAGTTTAACAATGTAATCTTGACAATATAATCTTGATGCATTCTGAAACAACTAAAATATTGATAATTTCAAATTGACTAAATCAGTTAATTCTAAAAATCAATTTAATGCACTGATTTTAAAGGCAATTTTAAGGAAAAATGGCCAAAGATAATTCTTCCAAAGAGAATTGAGAAAGTAAACTTTTCCATAAAATTTACACATCAGAATACAGAACATATGAAAAGATCACTATTTCCTACATCTGTGCAAAATGGGTATTACGCTATTGCTACAGGTCCCCAAACATATACTTACGGATGTTTTTTATGCCTGTCCCAGGTGTCGTGTCAATCTCAGCCATGCCCAATAATATTAAATGAGTCATAATTTCTTGCCTAAATTTGAAATTGAGGTTTCCAATTCACTTTTACTTTTAAAAATAAGCACACATATTGTGAATGAAAAAGAGTGTGTGTCATGAAATTAAGCCAATGACAAACATTAACAACTTGGAATTTATTCAATTTCCTCCTTGGTTACTAGTATAAACCTCATGTTTTAATTATTTCCTGTTTGCTGACTCTAAATAATGGCCAAGTTTAAGCAGCTAATTAAGCAGCTAATTCACACACATATTGAGAGATTTGGGCAAAATCATCTATCTCATGAATGTCAGGCCATCAGGTGTGAATGTCCTCAGACAGGTGTTACATTCTCTCAAAATAACTGCCTGTGGGAAGAACATTTATCAAACAGACCCAAATTAACAGTCCAAACCTAACAGGCTATAATTGAGAAGGGTAGTAACACAAATCAGGGTTTTACCAGGGTCCTATCTAATTTATTTTACTTGTATAGCTTAACATTGGTAAATGCACACAAATGAATGACACCTAGATTTACAATCTTTTTATGAGCTGCACTAATTTCTAACCTGCAGCCACGGAACGCAATGATTATCAATTTAATTATAAGCAAGCTAATTGAAATCACAGAAAGCATGGCATTTTCTAAGTCTAAGAAAAACCAAATACCCAGAATTCCCAGAGTGAGGTATTCAGAATGGACCCTCAATCACTGGATCAAACCACCTCTCCATTCAATTCCCTTGTGAACTATTCTGATAAATGTTGCAATTAGTCCAACTTTCTAATACGGTTAGCTACCAAAAAATTAACATAATCTGCATATTTAGCTATATACTTTAAATACATTTTCAAGTGATCTGAACTCTAAGAAATAGTTTGCAAGTGTTCCTGGAGAACTGACTGAAAAGTACAGAGAAATAGGCAAATGTTAAGGATTAGGTTCCATTCATTGAAGAAACTAGGAAAACCATCTATGGGAGCTTAAAGAAAAAACAAAGAGCAAAAGGGAGACAGGAAGTGAGGGACCAATGAAAAGTATAAAATTAAAAGTATTAAGTAAACAGTTTTTCTGCAGTTCAGGTTTTTCCTATGTGTTGCAACAGGCTGGTTCTCAGGAGAATTTCCTTAGATGAATTTCCTTAGAGAACGATGAGGTGACTGAAGTTAGCACATATTCTTTCCTTCCTTCCTCTATAAAATAAAGTGCCACACTCACTTAACTTGCACATTTTTTATTTATCCAGTCTCAGGCACTGACTATGCCCCACTCCAACTGGGGAGTGATGTGGCAGTGAAGTGTTCTACTGCTCAGGTTTTTGGTTTGGCCGCATTCAGGAACAGTGAATCCATTCTTTTTGGAAAACAATATAAAAGTTCTTAGATTGTTTTGTAGCTAAGTGTTTGCAGCTCTAATTTTGGGGGGCTACTTTTGTTGATGCATATACACTTCTTTATTATAAACCTAAGCAGCTTTGTTTACAGTTTTATTATTTGTACTTTGTAACGAAGAATGTAACACCTAGCCAGTAGAAATAGAAACAAATTACTGAAGGTCAACAGCAAATCGATTTTCCTGACCAAAGGATAAATGCAAAGCGCTGACGCTGTTAATATTCACAGGACACAAACTTTAAGTCAACACTAAGAGGTGTTATTATTTTGCAGGCAAAACAAACACAGACCAAACAAAAATAATTCTAAAAATTTAGAACTTTTTTCCCAATAAGAAAATATTTTACAACTTAATTGACTGCCTAGGGGAAATTTGAAATATATTGTTATGGGTAGAGTTGTGTGATATGTGGAAAGGGTATGTGGAAGCCTTAACTTCCCAGGACCTCAGAAGAATTTTTTGGATTAGCCACAAAACTATTTTCAAGTTATTTGTCTTTGAGATTCTTGTTCAGAAAGTGATGTTTATAATTATTAAAGAAAAAGACTGCCTCAGGGAGACA